AATATGCGTTTTTGCTGCCTGTTGCAGCGCTCTAGCGCTGCACGGCAAAAACGCATAAAAACTAAACCAACTTACATAATCCCCGACGCGTTTCATGTAGAAAGGCTTGCATTTGTGTGGATAACGGAGAATGAACAACGGCCCGGAACAGTGCTCTACCAAGCACAACTCGTTCTCTTTGCTCAGTCGTCCGCTGGAAATTATTTCGCCTTTCCGCTGTAGAATTGATAATGCCTCCTCGAAATGCATACGTGGGAATGGCTTCATCGGACTGTCCATCCATAAAAGTGGTCGCACCTTTGGATTCTAAAAGAAAAAAAAGGAATTCTGCTGCAGTGGTAAACGCATCAGTAAAGACTTGCGTCAGATATCCTTTTTACTACGAGCAAAACAAAAGTTACTTTGGAATATCTCCGTTTCTCAGCGATAATGTAACTCAACAATGATAAATAAACTAAAAAAATGCTTTGAAGTTTTTTTAATGAGTTTTGAAATCACTGGAAAAATCCTTTGTGAAAAAGCTGGATTCTTTGTAGTGAGCGAGAAAAAGATCTGAAAAGAACAAAGGCAAGAATGGCACTAACCGAGGTTTTTCTCTTAACAAAATGCAAATATCAAAAGATACAAAACTTAAAAACTCAAAACGCTGAAACAATACCTGATCGCAGAAAACCTCTGCCATTGAGCCAAACTGTTCAGCCAATTCAGCGCAGCTGTGCATTCTATTTACCAAAAAATTGATGTACTGTTCCACGAAATCGCAAAGTTCCTCCAGATTCTTTGCGAAAGCGTATTCTGCTTCAAGCATTCGAAATTCCGCTAAATGCTGCCGTGTTTGCGAGTGGTCAGCCCGTAATGCTGGCGCTATGGTGTACACACGTGGTATGCTTCTGCAAAAAACGGTATTTTCGAATTAAAAAAACTACTGATTTACTTCCACACTCAACACTTCAGCCTCATTTTAATTTCCAGTTTTAAAAAGTTGGCCAATTTTTGTTCCAGTACTACAGCAAACAGGCAGTGGCAAGCGGCACCCGGTCTCGACGCGTTGCACAAGTGTGCGCGACAGCTGAATTTAAAATCTTTAACTCGCACATGCCCAGAAAATACTCCTTCAAAGTTTCAGCTTTTTACCTTGCCTGGTTCGCGAAATCGTCTCCCGCCAAAGAAACTTGCATAATATGTATGTATGTGTGTATGTATGTATGTGTATGTACATTTTGTTCCTCGCTTTCAACTCGGGAACCATAAAAGCTAGGAGGCTGAAATTTTAGCGGGAATGTTCCCCACCTAAATGCGATTCCTAATTAGTAACTTTTCTGCCAAAACTTTCATACGACCCATGTGAAACCTCGACATGTATGGATGAATTTGAGTTGTGAAGCTACGCATAGGTGGAGAACATTCTCCTGAGTCTTATTGATTATTTTCATGACAGAAAAGAATTAGAAGCACGCTCGAATCATCAGCTCAAGCCCATCAGAAGGCAAACTATCCCTCGATAATGTGCCTATTTACTTCAATGGTAAATTAGTAATGGCACAACATATATCTCAAGTCAAAGCCATCATCCGACTGATTCTGAGCGATCCTCACAAAATGTGCCAGTGAGCAGCTGCTAATGCTCAAAGGGCAACACTCAGAATGCCTTCCTTCAAAATGAGAGTAAAATGCGAAGTTGATTTTGGCTTTGACAAGACCAGTTGATACGGATAAGATTGAATATTATGCAACTGAAATGGATCGCAAACAAACGTGATAACAAAAATGTAAAATATTATGGAAATCTGAAAATATACCCAACAAAAGCTTCCAAATATAGTTGCGCAGACACTGGTAGATAGACAGTTTCACCCTCAAAGTAGTCTTTCTGCGCTGCCTGTAACAAATGAAAGAAAATAAAAAATTTCTGGAATCCTCGTAGTCTTCGCTCTTTCCAACTATCGCTAATATAGAAGATTATTTGCTGGCGAAGAAACCTTGAGACATTTGTTCGGCGGTAAATTTATGGTTTTATCATGAGAATTAAACAAGATAATTTATCAGAATTTAGCCAAAAATAATAATTTCAATAAACAAATTTGTATTTAGCCAAAAATTCACAATCCAAAACTTCATACTTCAAATGAAGACAGCTACATCGCTGAAGAACTGATTTGGGGGGTTGCGAAATTCGTCTTGCTACTGGGATGAGCCGATGCGTTATGGGAAACCCTGTAAGGCCCTTCAGGCCTGAGCTGTGTGTATCCAATCGTGGTCACCTTTTACACGTACGTTATCTTTTAGAAATACGCGACGTTCACCGGTTGTAAGCAGTGCGAACAACATGTCCTGCCTATCGGATTTTAGACTTCCGCCTGAGCGTAGCAGCATCATGCATTCGTTGAAAAATAACCAAAATCAAGCAAGGCTGCAGTGATAGCAAGTAGTGCTCTACCTTGCGCATAACGATTGATATCTCGGTTCGGCCACTGTAAAAGCCCGTCCCACTACGCTGTGAGGCAAACTGGTGCAGCCAAAGAGTCAAAATCGCCAGGAGCCTATTTCCAAGCAAATTTTAGAAAAAGTTCTATAAAAAAAAACACCAAATGGCAGCTGCCGTACAGCAAGAAGCTAATATATGGCTTCGGCCTATCTTCACCTATTACTGAAAATGAGTAAG